TATATCAGAATCATCGCTGGTGCTATATCAGAATCATCGCTGGTGCTATATCAGAATTATTGCTGGTGCTATATCAGAATTATCGCTGGTGCTATATCAGAATTTTCGCTGGTGTTATATCAGAATTATTGCTGGTGCTATATCAGAATTATTGCTGTTGCTATATCAGAATTATTGCTGGTGCTATATCAGAATTATTGCTGGTGCTATTTCAGAATTATTGCTGGTGCTATATCAGAATTATTGCTGGTGCTATATCAGAATTATTGCTGGTGCTATATCAAAATTATTGCTGGTTCTATATCAGAATTATTGCTGGTGCTATATCAGAATTATTGCTGGTTCTATATCAGAATTATTGCTGGTGCTATATCAGAATTATTGCTTGTGCTATATCAGAATTATTGCTGGTTCTATATCAGAATTATTGCTGGTTCTATATCAGAATTTTTGCTGGTGCTATGTCAGATTTATTGCTGTTGCTATATCAGAATTATTGATGGTGCTATATCAGAATTATTGCTGGTTCTATATCAGAATCATTGCTTGTTCTATATCAGAATCATTGCTGGTGCTATATCAGAATTATTGCTGGTGCTATATCAGAATTATTGCTGGTGCTATATCAGAATTATCGCTGGTGCTATATCAGAATCATCGCTGGTGCTATATCAGAATTATTGCTGGTGCTATATCAGAATTATTGCTGGTGCTATATCAGAATCATCGCTGGTGCTATATCAGAATAATCAATGGTTCTATATCAGAATTATTGCTGGTGCTATATCAGAATTATTGCTGGTGCTATATCAGAATTATTGCTGGTGCTATATCAGAATTATTACTGGTGCTATATCAGAATTATTGCTGGTGCTATATCAGAATTATTGCTGGTGCTATATCAGAATTATTGCTGTTGCTATATCAGAATTATCGCTGTTGCTATATCAGAATTATTGCTGGTGCTATATCAGAATTATTGCTGGTGCTATATCAGAATTATTGCTGGTGCTATATCAGAATTATCGCTGGTGTTATATCAGAATTATTGCTGGTGCTATATCAGAATAATTGCTGTTGCTATATCAGATTTATTGCTGGTGCTATATCAGAATTATTGCTGATGCTATATCAGAAATATTGCTGGTGCTATATCAGAATTATTGCTGGTGCTATATGAGAATTATTGGTGGTGCTATATGAGAATTATTGCTGGTGCTATAAAAGAATTATTGCTGGTGCTATATCAGAATTATTGCTGGTTCTATATCAGAATTATTGCTGGTGCTATATCAGAATTATTGCTGGTGCTATATCAGAATTATTGCTGGTGCTATATCAGAATTATTGCTGGTGCTATATCAGAATTATTGCTGGTGCTATATCAGAATTATTGCTGGTGCTATATCAGAATTATTGCTGGTGCTATATCAGAATTATTGCTGGTGCTATATCAGAATTATCGCTGGTGCTATATCAGAATTATTGCTGGTGCTATATCAGAATTATTGCTGGTTCTATATCAGAATTATTGCTGGTGCTATATCAGAATTATTGCTGGTTCTATATCAGAATTATTGCTGGTGCTATATCAGAATTATTGCTGGTTCTATATCAGAATTATTGCTGGTGCTATATCAGAATTATCGCTGGTGCTATATCAGAATTATCACTGGTGCTATATCAGAATTATTGCTTGTGCTATATCAGAATTATTTGCTGGTGCTATATCAGAATTATTGCTGGTGCTATATCAGAATCATCGCTGGTGCTATATCAGAATTATTGCTGGTGCTATATCAAAATTATTGCTGGTTCTATATCAGAATTATTGCTGGTGCTATATCAGAATTATCGCTGGTGCTATATCAGAAATATCACTGGTGCTTTATCAGAATTATTGCTTGTGCTATATCAGAATTATTGCCTGTGCTATATCAGAATTATTGCTTGTGCTATATCAGAATTATTGCTTGTGCTATATCAGAATTATTGCTGGTTCTATATCAGAATTATTGTTGGTGCTATATCAGAATTATTGCTGGTGCTATATCAGAATTATTGCTGGTTCTATATCAGAATTATTGCTGGTTCTATATCAGAATCATTGCTTGTGCTATATCAGAATCATCGCTGGTGCTATATCAGAATTATTGCTGGTTCTATATCAGAATTATTGCTGGTGCTATATCAGAATTATCGCTGGTGCTATATCAGAATTATTGCTGGTGCTATATCAGAATTATTGCTGGTTCTATATCAGAATTATTGTTGGTGCTATATCAGAATTATTGCTGGTGCTATATCAGAATTATTGCTGGTTCTATATCAGAATTATTGCTGATGCTATATCAGAATTATTGCTGGTTCTATATCAGAATTATTGCTGGTGCTATATCAGAATTATTGCTGGTGCTATATCAGAATTATTGCTGGTGCTATATCAGAATTTTTGCTGGTTCTATATCAGAATTATTGCTGGTGCTATATCAGAATTATTGCTGGTGCTATATCAGAATTATTGCTGGTGCTATATCAGAATTATTGCTTGTTCTATATCAGAATCATTGCTTGTGCTATATCAGAATCATCGCTGGTGCTATATCAGAATTATTGCTGGTTCTATGTCAGAATTATTGCTGGTGCTATATCAGAATTATCGCTGGTGCTATATCAGAATTATTGCTGGTGCTATATCAGAATTATTGCTGGTTCTATATCAGAATAATTGCTGGTGCTATATCAGAATTATTGCTGGTTCTATATCAGAATTATTGCTGGTGCTATATCAGAATTATTGCTGGTTCTATATCAGAATTATTGCTGGTGCTATATCAGAATTATCGCTGGTGCTATATCAGAATTATCACTGGTGCTATATCAGAATTATTGCTTGTGCTATATCAGAATCATCGCTGGTGCTATATCAGAATCATTGCTGGTGCTATATCAGAATTATTGCTGGTGCTATATCAGAATTATTGCTGGTGCTATATCAGAATTATTGCTGGTGCTATATCAGAATTATTGCTGGTGCTATATCAGAATTATTGCTGGTGCTATATCAGAATTATTGCTGGTGCTATATCAGAATTATTGCTGGTGCTATATCAGAATTATTGCTGGTGCTATATCAGAATTATTGCTGGTGCTATATCAGAATTATTGCTGGTGCTATATCAGAATTATTGCTGGTGCTATATCAGAATTATTGCTGGTGCTATATCAGAATTATTGCTGGTGCTATATCAGAATTATTGCTGGTGCTATATCAGAATTATTGCTGGTGCTATATCAGAATTATTGCTGGTGCTATATCAGAATTATTGCTGGTGCTATATCAGAATTATTGCTGGTGCTATATCAGAATTATTGCTGGTGCTATATCAGAATTATTGCTGGTGCTATATCAGAATTATTGCTGGTGCTATATCAGAATTATTGCTGGTGCTATATCAGAATTATTGCTGGTGCTATATCAGAATTATTGCTGGTGCTATATCAGAATTATTGCTGGTGCTATATCAGAATTATTGCTGGTGCTATATCAGAATTATTGCTGGTGCTATATCAGAATTATTGCTGGTGCTATATCAGAATTATTGCTGGTGCTATATCAGAATTATTGCTGGTGCTATATCAGAATTATTGCTGGTGCTATATCAGAATTATTGCTGGTGCTATATCAGAATTATTGCTGGTGCTATATCAGAATTATTGCTGGTGCTATATCAGAATTATTGCTGGTGCTATATCAGAATTATTGCTGGTTCTATATCAGAATTATTGCTGGTGCTATATCAGAATTATTGCTGGTTCTATATCAGAATTATTGCTGGTGCTATATCAGAATTATTGCTGGTGCTATATCAGAATTATTGCTGATGCTATATCAGAATTATTACTGGTGCTATATCAGAATTATTGCTGATGCTATATGAGAATTATTGGTGGTGCTATATGAGAATTATTGCTGTTGCTATATCAGAATTATTGCTGGTGCTATATCAGAATTATTGCTGGTGCTATATCAGAATTATTGCTGGTGCTATATCAGAATTATTGCTGGTGCTATATCATAATTATTGCTGGTGCTATATCAGAATCATCGCTGGTGCTATATCAGAATTATTGCTGGTGCTAATAGCATTGACAAAACAAATTGACCGTGCATCGGAAAATCTGGTTTGGCTTTAATGGTCATTAGAAGATTTTGGCTACGAGGGTCATTTGGAGATAACTTCAAACCAATATTTTCACCATGATCACGTCATGAATTGCAATGTGTTTGTCCTACAATATGATATCATCAGTCTAATTTATTAATTAACTTTATTATTATTATTTATATCATTTATTTTGTGATGGACTATTATATGATTCACTCAATTTTAGTTTTTACCCCGAAATTTAAATATTAACAAAGCAATAGCGGCAAAGTGAGTAATAATCGTGGTTCGTCTATGCTAAATTGTACAGATAACATTGCAAAAAAATAGTTGTCTGTATCAAAAGTAAATTTCTATCGAAGTGACTATTCGGACCCGGGTCCGCGAAGTGAGAGGTTGGGGTTAAAATTTAAAATAAAATGTTAGGTTGTAAGACTAAATTTGGTATCAGATGAAAGATAATTGACTGGACGACTATATGTTTGTAAACTTACTTCTTCAGTTTAACTAAAATAAATTACCACAACTCTTAAAAATTGAAGATGGCCCACATCACGTGACATGGCAACACATCCTTCAATGAAGTATCCATGACGTCATCCAACTGACCACTCAACCAGGTAGTGTAACAGTAACATTAGTATTCAAGCTGGTCAACGTGAGGAGAGGGGGGGGGAGGAGAGCCACGTTAAGTAGCCACGGTCTGGGACTGGTACAATACTATGTCAACCCGTGTTGCGCTCTGGTCGAGACACGGGCGTGTGAACTGGTTACGATTCAGAAGTTCACCGTGTCGTCTCGTGCATGATCTGTGATCAGTGTCCCCCACATGAAAAGTCCCAATCGGATACACTGTTGTTCGAAGTCATCTTGTCAGACGTTGATGCTGACGACAGTTCTTTTAGCGGTCGTGGTAAACACATGAGGATAGGTCCTGTAGGTTGGTCTCTTTCAGTTGAACACTCGGTGTAGGTTGGTCTCTTTCAGTTGAACACTCGGGATTTCATCAGTGAGAAGTAGATGCGACCAGGAAACAGGTTCTAGGACAGGCGCATGTTGGAGTGGATTTATTGACTGGTCACGTGAGTACCGGTAGTTTGTGTGATGGGCTTGTTGATATTACAAACGTGTGTTTCTTTTATCTAGGCGCCACTGTGTTTCTTTTATCTAGGCGCCCTTGTGCTTCTTTTATCTATGCGCCCTTGTGCTTCTTTTATCTATGCGCCCCTTTGTTTCTTTTATCTATGCGCCCTGTGCTTCTTTTATCTATGCGCCCTGTGCTTCTTTTATCTAGGTGCCCCTGTGTTTTTTATCTAGGCGCCCTTGCGTTTCTTTTAACTATGCGCCCCTGTTTCTTTTATCTAGGCGCCCCTGTGTTTCTTTTATCTATGCGCCCCTGTGTTTCTTTTATCTATGCGCCCCTGTGCTTCTATCTATGCACTCCTGTGTTTCTTTTATCTAGGCGCCCCTGTGTTTCTTTTATCTAGTCGCCCCTGTGTTTCTTTTATCTAGGCGCCCCTATGTTTCTTTTATCTAGGCGCCCCTGTTTCTTTTATCTAGGCGCCCTTGTGTTTCTTTTATCTATGCGCCCCTGTTTCTTTTATCTAGTCGCCCCTGTGTTTCTTTTATCTATGCGCCCTTGTGTTTCTTTTTTCTATGCGCCCCTGTGCTTCTATCTATGCACTCCTGTGTTTCTTTTATCTAGGCGCCCCTGTGTTTCTTTTATCTAGTCGCCCCTGTGTTTCTTTTATCTAGGCGCCCCTATGTTTCTTTTATCTAGGCGCCCCTGTTTCTTTTATCTAGGCGCCCTTGTGTTTCTTTTATCTATGCGCCCCTGTTTCTTTTATCTAGGCGCCCCTGTGTTTCTTTTATCTANAGCGAACAGACCATAGAAAAGGGAAATTAGCCAAACAGCGAACAGACCATAGAAAAGGGAAATTAGCCAAACAGCGAACAGACCATAGAAAAGGGAAATTAGCCAAACAGCGAACAGACCATAGAAAAGGGAAATTAGCCAAACAGCGAACAGACCATAGAAAAGGGAAATTAGCCAAACAGCGAACAGACCATAGAAAAGGGAAATTAGCCAAACAGCGAACAGACCATAGAAAAGGGAAATTAGCCAAACAGCGAACAGACCATAGAAAAGGGAAATTAGCCAAACAGCGAACAGACCATAGAAAAGGGAAATTAGCCAAACAGCGAACAGACCATAGAAAAGGGAAATTAGCCAAACAGCGAACAGACCATAGAAAAGGGAAATTAGCCAAACAGCGAACAGACCATAGAAAAGGGAAATTAGCCAAACAGCGAACAGACCATAGAAAAGGGAAATTAGCCAAACAGCGAACAGACCATAGAAAAGGGAAATTAGCCAAACAGCGAACAGACCATAGAAAAGGGAAATTAGCCAAACAGCGAACAGACCATAGAAAAGGGAAATTAGCCAAACAGCGAACAGACCATAGAAAAGGGAAATTAGCCAAACAGCGAACAGACCATAGAAAAGGGAAATTAGCCAAACAGCGAACAGACCATAGAAAAGGGAAATTAGCCAAACAGCGAACAGACCATAAAAAAACACGATTAAATAAAAATAACACTTAGCTCAATTTGTAGGATGCGGTAGGGCAGCTGACGAAGGCTTCCTGCCGACGCCTTCGTTGTTTTGTTGCGTTCATTTTTTTCAGGTTTTCTCATACTTTCTTTCACTCATTTCCTTTTTTGCTAACCTGATACCAATCCCCCCCTTTTTTTTGAGTACCATATTATATAACAATACCAAGTGGTATAATAGACTTTCTATGAGGTAGCAATATCAACTCATATCATAGACCTTCTTTCACACCGACTGGTGAAGGCTTGAAATGAGACGTTTTAGCTCTTATAGGTTTGAAACAAACGGAACAATTTCTTTACTTGAGTTGGGTTCAATATTTCCGCAGAAGACGATAACACCAGAACGTTAAATTATTTCTTCTGAAACCTAAGATAATTCATGACACCAGTTCAAGACCAGTTCAAGACACCAGTTCAAGACACCAGTTCAAGACACCAGTTCCAGACACCAGTTCCAGACACCATTTCCAGACACCAGTTCCAGACAACAGTTCCAGAATCCAGTTCCAGACACCAGTTCCAGACACCAGTTCCAGACACCAGTTCTAGACACCAGTTTCAGACACCAGTTTCAGACACCAGTTTCAGACACCAGTTTCAGACACCAGTTCTAGACACCAGTTCTAGACACCAGTTCTAGACACCAGTTCTAGACACCAGTTCTAGACACCAGTTCTAGACACCCGTTCCAGACACCCGTTCCAGACACCCGTTCCAGACACCCGTTCCAGACACCCGTTCCAGACACCCGTTCCAGACACCCGTTCCAGACACCCGTTCCAGACACCCGTTCCAGACACCCGTTCCAGACACCCGTTCCAGACACCCGTTCCAGACACCCGTTCCAGACACCCGTTCCAGACACCCGTTCCAGACACCCGTTCCAGACACCCGTTCCAGACATTCGTTCCAGACACCCGTTCCAGACACCATTTCCAGACACCAGTTCATGACACCAGACCAATCCAGGACACCAATCCAGGACACCAATGCAGGACACCAATGCAGGACACCAATCCAGGACACCAATCCAGGACACCAATCCAGGACACCAATCCAGGACACCAATCCAGGACACCAATCCAGGACACCAATCTAGGACATCAATATGTTCTAAAGTTATGAGATGTACAAAGAATTTCTTTTTAAATTTAAAACGTTCGATTACCTCACTGGTTAGTCCAGTGGTCGGCAAACTCATTGGTCAAAAGAGCGAAAAATCAGGAGCAGGACAATAAAATCTTTTTGAGAGCAACATTTATGTCAAGAACCTGTCAATAACCAAGCTTTTCGGAGTCAAAACCGATTTCTTGGCTAAAGAGCCACATGCGGCTCCCGACCACTGGGTTAGACTGACGACCACTGGGTTAGACTGACGCTCTCTGCTAGACTTATCTACTTCCTCGAGAATGTCACATATGGCTTTGCTCTTTAGTACTGTGTAACTGCTTTCTTGTGTGACGTCAATAGAACTAGGGCATTTGTTACATGGCTTGTGTAACTACTCTCTTGTGTTACGCAAATAGAACCAGGGCATTTGTTACATGGCTTCTGTGACGGCTCTCTTGTGTGATATAAATATAAATAGGGCATTTGTTACATAGCTTGTATAACGGCTTTCTTGTGTAACCTAAATAGAACTAAGGCATTTGTTACATAGCTTTATTACTGCCCTCTTGTGTAACCAAAATAGAACTAGGTCATTTGTTACAAGGCTTAAGTGGGCGTCACTTTCAATGATTTAACTTTACTCTGACAGTCCATAAAGAAAATAGTTTGTTCCACAAACTTTTGCTAGTTTTATGAATGAAAGTCTACGCCATTGCCAATGTCAACTCTACGCCATTTCCAGTGACAGCTCTACGCCATTTCCAGTGACAGCTCTACGCCATTTCCAGTGACAGCTCTACGCCATTTCCAGTGACAGTTCTACGTCATTACCAGTGAGAGCTCTACGTCATTTCCAGTGACAGCTCTACGACATTTCCAGTGACAGCTCTACGTCATTTCCAGTGACAGCTCTACGTTATTTCCAGTGACAGCTCTATGTCATTTCCAGTGACAGCTCTGTCATTTCCAGTGGCATCTCTACTTCATTTCCTGTGACAGCTCTACGTCATTTCCTGTGAAAGCTCTACGTCATTTCCTGTGACAGCTCTACGTCATTTCCTGTGACAGCTCTACGTCATTTCCAGTGACAACACTACGTTATTTCCAGTGACAGCTCTACGTCATTTCCTGTGACAGCTCTGCACGCCATTTCCAGTGTAATTCATTTTGAATTTGTGCTTGCATAATTGGATAGCCAATCAGCACAAGATCTGAACTTTCCCAACCATCCCAGCAGTAAAAATGGTTCAATCGATATAACATCAACATTGTATCTGTCCTCACTACTCAAATAAAAAGTTGATCGATTGACAATTACCTTGAACGTCTTGACTTCCTCTCCAGTAGCATTTAAATGTCTCTCCCGTAACAACACAGTATACTTTCAGCTCAAATTGACCGTTACATTTAAATGTTTCTCCCGTAACAACACAGAATACATTCAGCTCAAATTCATTGTCATTGAATGTTCCTCCCGTAGCAAAATAACATTCATCTCAAACTGACAGTTACACTGAATGACTCTTCCATAACAACACAAAATACATTCAGCTCAAACTGACAGTTACACTGAATGACTCTTCCATAACAACACAAAATACATTCAGCTCAAACTGACAGTTACACTGAATGACTCTTCCATAACAACACAAAATACATTCAGCTCAAACTGACAGTTACACTGAATGACTCTTCCATAAAACACAAAATACATTCAACTCAAACTGACAGTTCCACTGAATGACTCTTCCATAACAACACAAAATACATTCAGCTCAAACTGACAGTTACACTGAATGAATCTTCCATAAAAACACAAAATACATTCAGCTCAAACTGACAGTTACACTGAATGACTCTTCCATAACAACACAAAATACATTCACCTCAAACTGACAGTTACACTGAATGACTCTTCCATAACAACACAAAATACATTCAGCTCTAACCCAAACTCTAATCCACTCTCTAACCCACTCTCTAATCCACTCTCTAACCCAATATCTAACTCACTCTCTAACCCACTCTCTAGCCCACTCTCTAACCCACTCTCTAGCCCACTCTCTAACCCAATACCTAACCCAATATCTAACCGAATATCTAACCCACTCTCTAACCAATATCTAACCCACTCTCTAACCCAATATCTAACCCACTCTCTAACCCAATATCTAACCCACTCTCTAATCCAATATCTAACCCAATATCTAACCCAATATCTAACCCAATATCTAACCCACTCTCTAACTCACTCTCTAACCCACTCTCTAACCCACTCTCTAACCCAATATCTAACCCACTCTCAAAACCACTCTCTAACTCACTCTCTAACCCACTCTCTAACCCAATATCTAACCCACTCTCTAACCCAATATCTAACCCACTCTCTAACCCAATATCTCACCCACTCTCTAACCCACTCTCTAACCCACTCTCTAACCCAATATCTAACCCACTCTCTAACCCACTCTCTATCCAATATCTAACCCAATATCTAACCCAATATCTAACCCAATATCTAACCCACTCTCTAACTCACTCTCTAACCCACTCTCTAACCCACTCTCTAACCCAATATCTAACCCACTCTCTAACCCACTCTCTAACCCACTCTCTAACCCACTCTCTAACCCAATATCTAACCCACTCTCTAACCCAATATCTAACCCACTCTCTAACCCAATATCTAACCCACTCTCTAACCCACTCTCTAACCCACTCTCTAACCCAATATCTAACCCACTCTCTAACCCACTCTCTAACCCACTCTCTAACCCAATATCTAACCCACTCTCTAACCCACTCTCTAACCCAATATCTAACCCAATATCTAACCCAATATCTAACCCAATATCTAACCCAATATCTAACCCACTCTCTAACCCAATATCTAACCCAATATCTAACCCAATATCTAACCCACTCTCTAACCCACTCTGTAACCCAATATCTAACCCACTCTCTAACCCGATATCTAACCCAATATCTAAACCAATATCTATCCCACTCACTAATCCACTCACCGACCCACTCACTAAGCAACACCTCTCATGTAATCATTCATGGAATTCAGATTCTCTCTCGAATTGCTAAGTTCCTCACTCTTGTTGCTTTCGAAAACTAATTGCATTAGTGTAAACGTTGTTGCTGATTAAGTATTCTACTTTAAAATAACACAACATTGTGCATAAAAGTACAATCTTTCGCTATATACTTTGTTTTCTTTAATGTAGCTAAGCTGGAATTGATGCGCCCTCGATATTTCAAGGTATCCCGGCCATTACCCAGCTCAGACCGCCCCCCCCCCCAACGCCTGCCTATATATCACTTCATCCCTCCGATACATAGTATGGTGACTGTCTATACTGCATACTACCAAGATATAAATAGGTTCTGTCTATACATCGCTACATACTACCAAGGTATAAATGGGTTCTGACAAAATATCGCTGTATACTACCAGGATATCAATGGGTTCTGTCTATATATCACTACTTCTGTCTATACATCGCTACATACTATACCAGGATATCAATAGGTTCTGTCTATATATCACTACATACTACGAATAAGTACCCATTATTCTATAAGCCTACCCATAGGTATACATTATGTTTTCTGTTCTTACCTACGTATTGCAAGAGTCAGTGCAACATATGGTGGGTACTCTATGATTGGGGAGTGGACTAGTACCCTAAGATTGAGGAGTGGACTAGTACCCTAAGATTGGGGAGTGGACTAGTACCCAAAGATTGGGGAGTGGATTAGTACCCTGAGATTGGGGAGTGGACTAGTACCCTAAGATTGAGGAGTGGACTAGTACCCTAAGATTGGGGAGTGGACTAGTACCCAAAGATTGGGGAGTGGATTAGTACCCTGAGATTGGGGAGTGGATTAGTACCCTGAGATTGGGGAGTGGACTAGTACCCTAAGATTGGGGAGTGGACTAGTACCCTAAGATTGGGGAGTGGACTAGTACCCTAAGATTGGGGAGTGGACTAGTACCCTAAGATTGGGGAGTGGACTAGTACCCTAAGATTGGGGAGTGGACTAGTACCCTAAGATTGGGGAGTGGACTAGTACCCTAAGATTGGGGAGTGGACTAGTACCCTAAGATTGGGGAGTGGACTAGTACCCTAATTTGCAGCACTAACTCTACCATTACGTGTATTACGTTATAGGTGGGACGCTAGTAATGATTGGCATACAGCTTCACCTAAGAGTTTTTTCAAAAACTGTTTTATCATATTAACCAGGTGTGCTCACGTGTAACAAGAATGTGTATAGGATTATATTTAACGCAGCACTCTGCTCTTGCCTTTAGATTGGACTTCGATTTCTGGGATTTTCAGTTTTGAAGCTGTTGCATTAAAAAAATTTCAAAATATATAACTACTTTGTTAAAAAAAAAAAATTGTTATCAAATGTAGACTGCTATCTAAAGGAAAGGTACCGATATGATCATTTCTTAATCATTATAAAATCACACAATGTTATTGATCAAGAGATTGCGAAATGTTTGGAAATCAATGGAAATGGGCGTGCTTTGTAAGTTTACAATGCTTAAAATATATTTTTTTACAGCTCGTCCCAGGTGATATCGACCAAACGATCAATACGAGGAGATAACCGACTCAGGGGAGATAAGCTACTTACGATGTGAAAATCCCCCACCCCCCTGCGTCCCACCGCTGTTGACCCCCAACCAAAGACTCCGGGAGTCTGTCGGGCAGTTGCATGGGTGGTTGTGTGACCAAGTCCTCCTTCACTGTCAACAAGGCCAAGGACATCAAAGCTTCACGGTGAGTTTATTTCAGAGAATGGACCTGACTCGATGAGCATTTCCGTAGCACATTAAGTCTTAGTGTAAAGATCAACACTTCGTGTCAAGGTTTAGGCAGGGTTGTTAACAATACTAAAAAAAATTATTGGCAATACCAATACCAATACAATTTTAAAACCAGTATTGCCTTACCAATACCAATATTTGGGTCATTCGACGAATAAAACGCAAATACGTAATTCATCGCTCTATATCACTTACATCGATAAACGATAACAACATTTTTGGCTAATTTAGACAATGTATTTTTAACCAAATGTTGTTCAATAGTTAACACTTGCTTCATCAGTTTTCCTCAAAGCATTCAAAAGTCTTTGACAACATATTAAATAAGTCGGCATACCTTAACGTCCTTAAGCAACAAGATTTTTAATATGTATACTGTACACATATTGTGAATGAATGAATGGATGGATGGATGAATGAATGGATGAATGAAGCAAATGACTGTCATAGAAAAGCAAATGATACATAAACGGTTAAACATCATACTATAGTAAAAACAGTCAGACCGAGTCAGTGGATTGCATCACATCTGGAAAACTAACGATGAACGATGAATTTTAGTAGAGTTCACAGGGTAACGCCACCTATTTGGCCGTTACCACTTAGCCAGGCGAAGAAAAGTAACCATTTCAAAATGCGCACTGCTCAGTCGTGAACGAAGAGGGGAAAATACTCGTCCTCCTAATGAAAACAACCTTTCAACAGCAGCGCTTGAAGGAAGTCCTGTATTCAGGTCTATGTATATTTTACGGATATGTGGATAGGCATCCAATGATGCAATACTGTCTGAAGTGTCTGCCAAGTAATTATTAATTTCTTGATTCACATCAGGTGAATCATTCACACGATGTCGTCTGGCTGACAATCCAGCGAAGAAGTCTGGCTGATTATCTGTACCATCAGCAGCAGCCGACGTTGCTTTCTGATCATCAGTAGGAGCAACCAACAGTGATTGTGAAACGCGTCTCTTGATTTGATTTCTATTATCATTCATTTCATTGATCAGTCTCATTCAAAAATTGTTTGGCAATGTCACTCGCAAGATGGCGACACCAAAGAAAAATTTATTATATTCAGCTTTATTCACAACCAATGTTGTAGAGAATTTATTGAATATTGCTTTTAGTATTGGTTAAAAATCAATACCAATATCAAACATAATTATTGGCAATACCAATACCAATATCAAATTTCAAGAAGTATTGCAATATCGTCCCAATACTTAAAAAAGTATTGGCAATACTACCAATACCAATACAATATTGCAATATTAACAACCCTGGGTTTAGGAATTGAATGTTGACGTGCTATTTCTTTCGGATTGGATTTTTAAAATAAATAACAACATGCGGTGTAGGGTGAGGTTACTTACCACTTATTTTTCCAGGTGAAATCAGGTGCAAAAAATAATGATTAGAAATAATTATGATCATACAGGCATTAATTTATAGGCGGGTCATTCTATAACCACGGCAGGAAATGGTCAGTCGTTATTAAATAATGGATAACCATTTCCTGCCGTGGTTATAGAAATACCTCTCCATTTGATTAGCCTATAATTATTCCTACTTAAATTATGCCATTATTTTTTTTCACCCTGCTTACAAAATTTGATTAAGATCAAAGTGCAATTTCTTTTGCCGTCTGGCCAAACTCTAATGAGACGCCCATGACATCTCGCTTCGTGTCTGGCCAAACTCTAATGAGACGCCCATGACATCTCGCTTCGTGTCTGGCCAAACTTGAATGAGACGCCCATGACATCTCGCTTCGTGTCTGGCCAAACTCTAATGAGACGCCCATGACATCTCGCTTCGTGTCTGGCCAAAGACGGGAAGATTGGTAGAGTCAGTGAGAGAGACACAAGCCCAAGAGACATGCAAGGAAAGACTTTGAAGGGATTCAACCAGCCTCGTCTAGGAGTGGCCTACATCTGGGGATCCCCCCCCAACCGCCCTTTTTGAAGGGATTCAATGAGCTCCAGTAGGCCTTTAGGACATGACTTTAGATCATGATTTTAGGACGTGACTTTAGATCATGACTTTAGTACATGACTTAAGTTCATGACTTTGAAGCTCTTATCATTACCGTAACAAAACTTGGTTTAATTTTATCCAGTTTTTTTGGAGCTTCAACCTCTGTTGAATTAGTACTGTGATTAAATCTATGAAACGTATTGAAGTGGTCTACATATATCTCTTTCATAACTACTACATATCTCTTACACATCTCTTACACATCTCTTACACATCTCTTACACATCTACTCCATCTCTCTTACACATCTCTTACACATCTACTCCATATCTCTTACACATCTCTTCTTGTAGTTCCAAAAATGGACACGTTTTAACTAAGCAGAGTTAATATTATTTTTTGTTTAAGTCGCTATTTCTGTACCGGTAAAGCAATTGTTAAAATTAGGCATTTTCCACCTTCATTGGAACAAAACTGGAGGTAGTAAGACACCCATGACCCAGAAACGTTTGATAATACCTGCACTATGGATAGCATTGATAATCCACACTATGGATAGCATTCATGATCCACACCATTGATAGCATTCATAATCCACACTATGGATAGCATTCATTATCCACACTATGGATAGCATTCATAATCCGCACTATGGATAGCATTCATTATCCACACTATGGATAGCATTCATTATCCACACTATGGATAGCATTCATGATCCACACTATGGATAGCATTCAAAATCCACACTATGGATAGCATTCATGATCCACACTATGGATAGCATTCATGATCCACACTATTTCCGCATTCAGCTATTCCTGTCGGTTTATTTTAGCATTCAGCCATTTCTGTCGGGTTCTCTCAGCATTCAACCATTTCTGTTGAGTTCTTTCAGCATTCAGCCATTTTTTGTTGGTTTCTTTCAGCATTCAACCATTTCTGTCGGTTTCTCTCAGCATTCAGCCATTTTTTGTTGGTTTCTTTCAGCATTCAGCCATTTTTTGTTGGTTTCTTTCAGCATTCAGCCATTTCTGTTGAGTTCTTTCAGCATTCAGCCATTTCTGTCGGTTTCTTTCAGCATTCAGCCATTTTTGTTGGTTTCTCTCAGCATTCAACCATTTCTGTTGAGTTCTTTCCGCATTCAGCCATTTCTGTTGGTTTCTCTCAGCATTCAGCCATTTCTGTCGGTTTCTCTCAGCATTCAACCATTTCTTTTGAGTTCTTTCAGCATTCAGCCATTTCTGTCGGTTTCTCTCAGCATTCAGCCATTTCTGTTGGTTTCTCTCAGCATTCAACCATTTCTTTTGAGTTCTTTCAGCATTCAGCCATTTCTGTTGGTTTCTCTCAGCATTCAACCATTTCTTTTGAGTTCTTTCAGCATTCAGCCATTTCTGTCGGTTTCTCTCAGCATTCAGCCATTTCTGTCGGTTTCTCTCAGCATTCAGCCATTTTTGTTGGTTTCTTTCAGCATTCTGCCATTTTTGTTGGTTTCTTTCAGCATTCAGCCATTTTTTGTTGGTTTCTTTCAGCATTCAGCCATTTCTGTTGAGTTCTTTCAGCATTCAGCCATTTTTGTTGGTTTCTTTCAGCATTCAGCCATTTTTTGTTGGTTTCTTTCAGCATTCAGCCATTTCTGTTGAGTTCTTTCAGCATTCAGCCATTTCTGTCGGTTTCTCTCAGCCTTCAACCATTTCTGTTGAGTTCTTTCAGCATTCAGCCATTTCTGTTGAGTTCTTTCAGCATTCAGCCATTTCTGTCGGTTTCTCTCAGCATTCAGCCATTTTTTGTTGGTTTCTTTCAGCATTCAGCCATTTCTGTTGAGTTCTTTCAGCATTCTGCCATTTCTGTCGGTTTCTCTCAGCATTCAACCATTTCTGTTGAGTTCTTTCAGCATTCAACCATTACTGTTGAGTTCTTTCAGCATTCAGCCATTTCTGTCGGTTTCTCTCAGCATTCAGCCATTTTTTGTTGGTTTCTTTCAGCATTCAGCCATTTCTGTTCAGTAAAACAGATGCCGAGCAGGTGCTGATAGGCTCAGACGAAGGAGATTATCTTCTCTACCTGGACCATGAAAGTGGGAAAATTGTGCTTTCTGTGAGGTATGATTAAATGCAAGGCCTATTTATTACAAAATACAAGAGCTATTTATGAAAAACTGCAAGACCTATTTATTGAAACATGGCAAGGCCTATTTATGGAAACACGGCTAGGCCTATTTATTAAAAAACGGCCAGGCCTATTTATTAAAAAACGGCCAGGCCTATTTATTAAAAAACGGCCAGGCCTATTTATTAAAAAACGGCCAGGCCTATTTATTAAAAAACGGCCAGGCGTATTTATTAAAAAACGGCCAGGCCTATTTATTAAAAAACGGCCAGGCCTATTTATTAAAAAACGGCCAGGCCTATTTATTAAAAAACGGCCAGGCCTATTTATTAAAAAACTGCAAGGCCTATTTATTAAAAAACTGCAAGGCCTATTTATTAAAAAACTGCAAGGCCTATTTACAGCAGACTTTATATCCTACTTCCAAGTTCATGCTTTTAAATCGCTGACCAACATTTACTCCATTTGAAATAAAAATTTACATTTCAAAATTCAACTTATAGGCAAATCTTTAGACTTTGAGTGTTAATGAATATTTAAATTTTATACCTTTTGGATTAGACTTTGGACACAGGATAAAATGTTCCTATTTGCTCTATATCAATCCTCCTTTCGAATTTTTAAAGAATGAAGAGTTACATAAGACACTACCGCATCACGGAGCTCAATGGTTTGTTCTACCTGGAGGGACAGCCTTACGCTTACATGGACTCCATAGTCCTTTACCATCGGAAGTACAAGCTTAATGGCGCCAAGTTAAACAAACAGGTAACTAGGGAGACAAATTTCAATGTCTTATGAAGACATGGCCAACAGGTAACTAGAGAGACATTTCAATGTCTTATGAAGACATGGCCAACAGGTAACTAGAGAGACATTTCAATGTCTTATGAAGACATGGCCAACAGGTAACTAGGGAGACATTTCAATGTCTTATGAAAACATGGCCAACAGGTAACTAGGGAGACATCATGGCAAACCGGTAACTAGGGAGACATTTCAATGTCTTATGAAGACAAGGCCAACAGGTAACTAGGGAGACATTTCAATGTCTTATGAAAACATAACCAACAGGTAACTAGGGAGGCATTCAAAGTTACAGCCCAATAAAAGTAAAAATGAAAGCCTGCATTAAAATATTGTATTATTTGTTTAGTATATCTTTGACAATTGATATGTTTTAAAACATTTAATAAGTTAAAAACCCCGAGCCATCTAAGGTATAAACCTCAGCCATCTAAGGTATAAACCTCGTTGCCATCTAAGGCATAAACCTCAGCCATCTAAGTCATAAACCTCAGCCATCTAAGGTATAAACCTCGTTGGCCATCTAAGGCATAAAGCCTCCAGCCATTTAAGGCATAAACCTTTAGACATCTAAAGCATACACTTCTAGCTATCTAAGGCATAATAAATGATGGAGCACATTCAAGTTGTGTAAATTAAATACAAGAACAAGGCATGTTAAACTTAAATTCCTGAGAGGACAAAAGATTTTGACGTTTCTTCGTAGAGCCTTCATCAGAAAACAAGACAAAAAGAAGTTTAACAAGTATCAGATCACAGCAAAAAAAACTTTCAAAATTGGAAAGTAGGATTACAGGAAGTGAAAGAATATAAATATTGTTACTGTGAAAAATAAGGGAGAGAATCTTAAAGGACCAAAATATTTAAGGATACATAAAATCTAAGGAATAAGAAAAAATGCAGAAATACAGGGAAATTGAGAAACATTAGTTAGAGAGTATTTGATTCATACCATGTGGAGATATGGTACCAAAAAGATGAATAAATTTGTTTTCCATTTTCACTCTCTCTGATGTATTTGTGCACGAAATTAGTGCCTTAATGGATACATCTAATGCGCCTTTATGTTGCCCTCTGTTGAAGTGTGACGAGACTGGGGAAAGTTTACCTTGTTCAATATCCCAAAGATGCTCCGTGAACCTATCTGCCAATCTTCTCCCTGTTTTGCCTATATAACTAGAATGACATCTACGGCACACCATCACATAATATATCACATTCTGACTAACGCATGTGAAACCCTCTTTGATGGTAAAGGTTTCTCTAGGGAGGCGAATGTTTTTTTGTTTAAATTGTATAGGGACACATTCTAAATCGAGCATGGTTTAGTCCCAATGTAAGTCGGGTCAGCTTAAAGGCGACAGTGAACCAGAAGGTCACCTAGATTGTTATCCCGTCTGAAGACAATCAATGGAGGGGATGAGAATACCTTGGTAGTGTCGGGGTCAGCAAGACATAAGAGATACACAAAAGACATATGAGATACACACAATGACCTGGTCTTTGGAGAGCAGATCAAACTCTGACATTAAATCATTCAAGTCCATAGAAATATAAGTGAGGCAAGCACTGCAATGGCATACTGTAATGTTTAAAAAAGTAATTAAAAAGAAAAAAATATCAAACAAAAAAACAATTCAGGTCTACAAAGAGTTATTAGGCAAAAAGTCTTTAATCAGACAATTTACACCCCCCCCCCCCCCATTTCCACCCCACATTATTATCCTTGCTGTGCAAAATTTGTGTTTAAAGTTTAATTTTCATTGAATGTTCAGGCCCACTTGAGTGCAAGAGTCGTCCAGACATTCGCCCATAGGGTTGCCAAGGCCAATGGAAACCTTCATGGATACACACACAAGGACAGTCCACGGGCAGAGTCCCCAGGCAGTCATCTCTTCCCGTCTGCCAGGTCCAGTGGGAAACATTCTCGCGCCAATTCGTACACATCTCTACTGACATCCTCCTCAGACTCCACCAGCAAACAACAGCAACGTCTCTGAAAGTTGCTGCAGTTTCAATTCAGTTATTTTTTGTTAAATTCCTAATCAATAATGAACAATACATCCTTGTTAAATTTACTTTCTTAAACATAAATCTTAAATGTTCACATTTGTAAACTGACACATTTTTAAGCTTCCATCTTTATCATTTTAGCGAAAATAACTTGTGTGTGGCAGTGTTTAGGTTGTATGTTGATCTTGTATGTTGGTCTTGTTGTATGGTTGTCTTTTTGTATGTTGTTCTTGTGGTATGTTGTTCTTGTGTTATGTTGTTCTTGTTGTTTATTGGACTTGTTGTACGTTGGACTTGTATGTTGGTCTTGTTTGTTGACTTGTTGTATGTTGGTCTTGTATGTTGGTCTTGTTGTATGTTGGTCTTGTATGTTCCTCTTAGTTTATGATGCACCAATTGGATTTGAACACTTTTCAACAAAACTCAGTGAGCGTAAAGACTAGTTTCTGTAATGAATGCATTAACTCAATGATAATGCCAGATAGTCCTACTTAATAATTCAGTAAGGCTGTTTGGCTTCACCATTGACAATAAAACCTTTTGTTGGGAATATTTTGCCATAGGCTATAGATGGGCCTAAAAAAAAATTTGTCTGGAATATTTTGGCCATAGCCGTATAGATGTGCCTACATATCTTTTAGGACCTTAAATATAAAATTCTGGTGGCAGTAAGAGCAAAAAATGTTTGAATCTAGGGCCCTGAATTTAGGGTGCACTAAGAAACCTCAATTGGTGCATAGACTAACTATCCCTTTTTTTTGGTAAGAAATGCAATATTGAAATTTATGTCTCTTTGTCACGTTGTCACTTTGCAACATTTAATGGAAAAGAATAAAAATATATGATAGTAAGAAAAATAGTAACAGAAGCAAGATTTGGATGAGGAGGGGGCAGGAGGGCTCAAAGATGTTTGACATGACAGGACAGTTGATGAAACATCAGTGTCTTTTAAAATATTAATTTGTTAACTTTTTGTTCTCATCCCACAACTTCACATCCATTTATTTATAGCTACATCCATTTATTTATAGCTACATCCAATTATTTATAGCCATTGCTGGCTGGCCAGTTTATCAACGTCTCATTCATAAAAATAAGTAATTTCCCGTTTAAGATAAAAAGTTGAGGGTGTCGAATGAATGCAGAATTAGAATTATACTGAATTTTTAGTACCAAAAAAATATGCAATTATTCTGTTGAAAAGATGCTCTTGTTTTAATACTGACACTGAAACTGGTTTTCTTTTAGCTGCTAATACTTAACACTTTTCTGAACAAATAAACATGTCATTTATAGTTTCTTTTTTGCAATGATTTTTATGAATGGAATTTCTGGATATAAAACAATCTATCCAGAAGTTCCGTTCATAAAAAAACATTGTATCCCAAAGAAATGTAATGTTAAAACCAGCCTGGAAGTCTGACTGTTTGGATGTGATTGAGATGAATTGTTTGTTTGTTTTTCCACTTCTGTAAACAAAAATTCAAATGTTTCATTGCTATAGATAAAAAAAAATATTTAAAAAAATATATATATATTTCAACCAGAAAACTTTATTTGTGATAAATTTTGACAAAAGCATTTAGACATGTATTGATTGATGCAAAGAAGTTGTGATAAAAAGGAACATTTAATTTTTTGTGTGTTTCTTTTCTATCTGTGATGATAAACTGTATAAATTAATTGGAAAACAAAAATACATCTTATAAATATTGCAATTATTCTTGTATTTATAATTCCTACACACGATTCAGCAGTTTGTGAATAAATTATATGGCATTTTTTGCATGAATAGTTCTTGTATTTTTTTTCCCCACAGTTGCATTAACAGGTGTAGAAATAGAAAAATATCTGCTTGTAGCAAAGACTTATCATGCCTTTTGTTACCCATAAAGCATCTTCAACAAAATTAATTTGAAATTAGAAATCATGATATATCTTTTCTTACTTGTAAAAAAAAATAAAAAATGTATTTTCCTAAATTTAATAAAAATCAAATCATTATTTGACAGTAACAATGAAGTTTCACTGAAATATTAAGCATGCATAAATAATAAAAATACAATGATCAAAAGTATAAACGATTAAATCTATCGCCTAATTTATTATTCTTTTAGTATTGATAAAAACCTAATCTCATTTCCGACTACATGTAGTACAATGGACTAAATGTTATACACTTATCTCATTCATTATCTTTTAAAATATTTACACCTGATATCTTTCCTTAACTTAAAGATGTTAATATTTTTGGTATTTGAAACATAACACTGACTAAACCTAACTTGTGCAGAAAATAGGCCTACACTTGCAGCACTTTGTGAGCACTTTATTTAAGCATTTATATACATTTCTTATTTCTAAAAAATCATTAGTTATCAAGTTCAAATTTATACAGCTTATAAATGCATAGAACAGAGTCCATTTTAATTTAAGTCAACAACCTTCATTCAACTATCTTCATTCAAATACCTTAATTCAACTAGCTTCGTTTCAAAATTGAGTATGTTTTTCTCAGTGAGATTCCAAATTATTTGTATTCAAGAGCATTTTGTTTGACTCTGTTTTCATGAGTGTAAATAAATAATGAATTTGTTGAAAACAATTAAGATTAAATAACTCTCTTGATATTGCGAAGATGGGGAAAAAAACGAATGATAAAAGATAAAATTAGAAAGATAGTGAATCAAGACGTAAGAAGATTATGTTCAATGGGAATGTCTTTAACACTGGGATTTAGGCTAATAAGAGGTAAATAGTTCAACCATTTCTAACAGTTACATTATCATAAGTTCACGACAAAATATCATATTTAGCATTTATTTACAAGTGATTGTTTACAGATTTATTTCCTAAAATCACACAAGTGTCAATTATTGTAACAATGAAATACACATTTTGATTTATAAACATACAACACAAGAAATAACACAAGTATAACTCAAGAATATAACAAGAATAACATTGGAATGGCATATGAATATTATTGAAAGCTTTGACACAAACATGTTTAGACTTTCTGTTTTGAGAGTTTTTGTGTAGTCATCTGATTAAAGCAAAGGCGAAACTTTGAACCAAAAACTACTTCATAAATATAATAAGTAATAAATATTTTATTTGGCAACAGAAATCAACATTTTTAACAAAAGAAAAAAACTAAATTCCTTTGAATAGGTAGAAAATAACTCATTGAGGAATAACTCGTTGAAGAATAACTCGTTGAGGAATAACTCATTGAGGAATAATTCGTTGCTTTTAACTAACAAATGATATGAAACTTCTTGCTCTATAATTTAAACCAGTGGTCTATAAACTGTTTATCATTACCAACCCCTCGGTTTCATAAACTCGTACCTAACATCCATCATATTTACAACTTAAAAGAATTATTCGCACCCCTAGTTTATACAAAACTTTAAGAAGGATCAAACCACACTAAAATAATCAATTTTGTTTACTTTAATAAATTCCAAGATTGCTGAAGCTTTATAAAGTAGAATAGTTCTTAAGCAAGAGGTCCAGATATTACTCTTAGTATATAGTCTGTTCTGCAACTATCTTTCTTAACATTTACAGCTCGCAACATTCAATGTAACAATGATAAAGAAATTTGATTAAATAAGAAGCTGCTTCATTTGTTCCCTTATTAAAATTAGTCAGACAAAATGGTTATTCATCTGTTTTTAAAATATATCATTTTGATTTCTTGTTTTAAATTATCATTCGCCACCCCTACCCCTATCCCAGCAATCCCTGGGGAATGTACCTCAATTTTTGAGTACCACCATAAAATCAAGACAAGTATAAAGATAATTGGGAGGCATATTTTTTTAGGCATTTTGAATTGTGCTTAGCTCATGTGTTAACATGACATCTGATCAAGGGAGATAATCTTCATTCAATGATCATGTAACAAGCACGTAAATGAATAGTAAGAATGAATCCTTCCACCCCTTTTAAAGTTTCTGTACATAGGGAAGATCAATGCAAATCCCCAATAAATAGCCATTTCTAATCTTCATGTTAATTTTATACAGCATATTTACAGTAAAATTATGGAAAGCAAGAAATGGTTATATAATATATGTGTGGATCTATCAATAATAAATTTAGATTTTTTCCTTCAATAACGTATACAGTTTAGTGGTTTCTAGCCTGGACTATGCAGACCATGGCGGTTCACTAATCAATTCTGTGATACCTGACAGTTCACTAATCAATCCTGAGATGCCTGATTGTTCACTAATTATCTCGTGAGATCTGTCACACATACTCAAGATATTTTCACTATCAAATTTAATCCATTTATCATATAAATTATTTACAACAGACATAAAAATTATGTTTCAATTATTATGTTAACAGCTAAATTTGTTTGCGAAGAGGTTTTTCTTACAAACAACTAATATCTATAGTCTATATCATTGTTACTAATATTAAATCTGCAAAAAGCTGGATCAAAATAAAAATAAATCATTATAAACTGTTATAAATTATTCATCATGATATTTGAAAGACTTTCTAGTCCTAATGTGATCATACTTTAAAGATGAGTCCAAATAGTAAATATAATTGTAATAGATAAAACTGTGGCTTCCGAAAAGTTTAATTATCTTCTTATAAAGGTAGGTCTATGTTTTTAAAAAAAAAAACGGAATTAGATTTTCAAATGTTTAAAAATATATCATTTTAAAACTCAAGTTTTAACACAGTACCATTATCCAATAATCTAAAATTTAAGGCACATTAGAAAATAAATAAAGATTGACAGTGACAATATGCTGCCATGCCAGGCCAACTCTTAAACAGGTGATCCATACAAACATATATACAATAATTAAGGCAATCTAACCAGCATTATAGTTGAAAAAATAAATGATATAACTGCTGCCGATTATCTGGATCGTTTTGATAATTTCAAACAATTAGCAGTTTAAAAATGTTCCCTATTTTGTATTTTATTATTTCTTATTTCAATCAAAGTATGCAGGCTTTAAAGTTTATTAATGGATTACTAAGAATCTCAAATAATCCAAAAGAAATATTATAATAAATTGACATAAAACTCAGTTAGTTTTCACCAAATCAGCAGTTAGAGACCTTATTTAGATTTATTTGATTGATAATGCACAAAATATACTTCAGTTATCATTAATATCCTCATACTATAAAATTACCACAGTCTAGAAAATGTACAAGTTCAGAATCAAAATTTAAGTCTAAATTTGTGTTTTCACATTTTAAAATAAAACAGCTGTACTCTTAAATATGAAATGAATAATTCTGAAATAATACATTTTTTAATGCAATGATTATGACATTTAAAGTGAAGATTCAATATAATGCTTATTAAATATACAGCAGTGATATTTTCAGTATGCCTAATATTTGAGGCCACAAAGAGTTAACTCTCAAAAGACGGGAGATTGAAAAATCGGTCATATATGGCGGGTGAAAAAAAGGACCCCTAATATATATATAAAAATAATATTAAAAGGCGAAAATAAAGATTTACCATTTTGGAATGTTAAATTTCTATTTGGCAAGAAAGAAAAATCGTTTATTTTACTAGTTCTTGAAGAAATCTGGTAGCAACTTGTCCATTCATAAATTTTCCTTTTCGCCATTTACTCATATTTTGCCACAATTCCGGTTCACTGTTACTACACTCTAAAACATTGCTATGGAATCTGATTCTGATTATAAGCTTGAAATGGACAACTATTCTTACTTAGAGGAATATTTTTGATGAAGATAGCACTTCAGATGTGTCTGATACCGAGAATTGTGTAAATTATCATCATAATAATAGCATCCAAGGTTTGTTTACTTTTTTCATTCATACTCAACTCACGCATACTGTGATACTTCTTAGCACTATTATTAGCCCTAACATTAGTTTTATTCAAGTTCCAGTAGTATAAAATTCTTAAATAGATTAAATTATTTATTTGTTTGAAACTAATTTGTAGTTATACAATTATTTTAATATTATTACGTTTCAGTTAGCAAAATGTAAACAATGGTTCTCAAGGCCATTGCTATTATTACACTGTAACAATCAGCTGTGTTCCCTTTTCAATGAAAACTTGAAGTAAAAGTAATTTAGGCAGATTGTTTATTATTTTGAATTCTTTTTATTTATATTTTAATTTTTTTATTTTAGCTAAACAAATTTTTTTTTATATATTTTGACAGCATCTATGAAGGGCAGATGTCAAACATAGTCAATACAATGGGTTATGATGACAAAAGACTGTGGGACTCTTTGCTGCATTTAGACCAGAGGTGAAAAGCACTATTGCTTCCTGATGTTATAACAAGAGAGGATATAAGGAGATTTTAAAAGCAAATTGACATTTTCAACCTCTACTTTACTACAGATTTGGTTGGTTATTAGTAAGCCTTGTGCGCAGGACAATGGACCGCAGAACTTTTGTGTTTTCAAAAATTGGTACCATTATAACATCATTGAAGGGGAGTTTTATCTACTAAGTGGATTTATTATGAATGCAGGACTTATCAAGCTCTTAATTTTACAAGAAATGTCCAGGAAATCCTTTTATGATGGACAATGAGCAAGGCCATTAGTACTAAGGACATATTCAAGGCTATATTGAGTTTCCTAAAAGTTTCTGATACTGAAAATAAAGGAAACATGCTGTGTACAATTGGGAGACACTTCTGTATCTCAATGCAAAATACAATCAACTGTATCAGCATCAAGAAAATGTAGCAATTAATGAACAATTTAGGGAACAATTGACATATTTGATGATAAACCTGATACTGTAAAGCCCGAAATCTTTACATCGTGCGCCGCAACATGACAATAACAAAAAAAATATATAATTGAGGGTTACCAAAACAGGGTAAAAGGTCAGAGCATATGTCACAGGCTTTGTTTTTGATACATTTTTATGTTTTATTAAATAAAGAAATTGTTTTCAAGAATTTTTATGCATGGTCTTGGCGAAGGATTATATCCTTTGATCGGTATCTCGGGGATGCATAAAAAATGTTTATTTATTAAAATGTGCCTTTTTTCTTAACTTTTCTTCTCAAATAATACTTACTAATAACCCTCTAAAGGATAATATAATGCAGTATATGTTTTCCTTTAAAAAAAAAAATTATTATTATTTTTTAAAAATAATTTTGACTTTTTGAGCAATATTTCCTTGAATGATCTGTTGCCTACAAATAGTCATAACTTTTTTATTTATGAGTCTATTCTTTTGAAATTTGAATATGTTTTATAGGATTGAACACATTCTAATAAATTATCAATTTTATTGATTTAATTGGAAACACTTTTTTTTTTCCTTCTTTGTAAAACTGTGATGTTATGTTTTTGTCGACTTAAAAAAATTTTTTTTTTGCCTAAAAATAATAAAACATCAAATTTAGCAAGGATATTTTGAACAAACACCAAGTATCAATTAAAGAGCATCCAATTACCTTTAAATTGATATATAATACTTGGAGGTAGCTACAAAATTACAGTCACGTGACACTTTGAAGAATAAGATATATTCAAGGTCATTAAAAAATGGAAAAATCTACAGTCTTTTGAGAGTTAACAGACGCAGCTGTATTCATATTTCATAATAATCTTTACACAATTCAAACGCTTCAAATAAGCTGCTAAACTTCATTTGACAACAATTTATTTGCACTATTTGTTAAGCTGCCAGTGTAAATAAAATTATTTAAATATTTATTTAACAACAGAGCATCCACCTCTCATAAAAATTTTAAAAGTCCTTTATTTGAAATCCCTCCATCAATCAGGGCTTGCTGCCAAGTCTTTGATGACTTAGTCCTAGCTTCTTTGACCTCATCATTAATGTTCATTAAAAAATCTCTCAGATGATTAACATTGTCTCTGAAACTGCATATAGTACGTCATCACGACATAGTCTTCATTTGACTCTAGCATGCAGG